GGTAGAGGCCTTGCGACGAGCTGATCACCCGCCCAAGGAGTCCTACCAAATGTATAAGATCTAGAAAAACCGAAGTGAACGGAGAAGTTCTTGGAGGTAGGCCTAGGCCCACTGGGGCTGTAGTGCCAAGGAAAAAGAAAATGTGTGGGGCTTTAGGGTTCATGTTACTGTATTTCCATTTATAACTTTCATTTATTATGTTACTACAGTTCTTTACACTATGTCTTACGTTTCTTTGTTGTTTGTGATACTGTATGGATGTTTTGTATAGTTGTTATTAGTTACAAATTCCTCAGTTTTGTTGTTATAGTTGTCTTTGTCTACTATGACTGAAGTGTTACCTTCACCAGCTTTAGTTTCAATTAATTGATTTTGGTTTATTTTCTTCTTTATACTATTTATAATGTACCAATCTTGTGATTCTAATTTTAACTTATGGGTTTGACAACTTTCCTTTTGTGTTTCCAGATTATTAATGAGTTTTTGGATATTGTTTACTACAGTCTGATTCATATACATTTGATCTCTTACGTGCATTTTGCTTATAGCTGCAACTGCTTCTATCGCTAAAAGTTTTATCCAATCCTTGTGTTTGTTATGTAGGCTATACTTTAAACCTCTGTCTAAGACTTTCATTTCTGCTTCTGGAAAAGTTAGTGTTTGTTCTGTTTTCTGTACATTTTTAGAATGCATTACTTTTTTGTAAAGGGGCACGCGGTAGCATAGTTGGTTGAGGGGCTATGCTACAAGCCGGAAGGTCGCGCGTTCAAGTCCCTATGAGGTCACTGGATTTTTTCAGTTGACCTAATCCTTCCAGCCGCACTAGGCCCTGGGGTTTATTCAGCCTCTAACAGAAATGAGTACCAGGAATTAATTAAATAATTTTCCTGGGGAGTAAAGCACGGCTGGCACGTAAGGTTGACAACCTTAACGCCATCTTTGAACCGATTGTCTAGATAGTGTGGGACCCTCAACATCTCACAACCCTATGGGCCTTCACAGCCTGGTACAGGGATAGCTTTACTTTTTTTACTTTATTACTTTTTTGTTAGATTTCATCATAATAGTGAGTCATTTTTATTTATAGTTTGATAATTTCCTTGCATTTTTTGTTCTAACATGAATCCATATTGAATTAATCTACAAAATACAACGCCCATACAAGATGGACACACACACATATAAATGATAGCAATATTTTTACATCTTCACCCAATGACACACACTGCATAAATATCAACACACTGTAACAACCCATGTAATAATATCCTTAATACATTTACTACTGCATAACCTCAAGCACAACAACTTCCACCCTGAGAGACTCTCACCAAAGCGGCATTCACCAGTCATTCACACCACACAAAAACTATGAACATATTAGGAAATTTTAACATCATACACTATCATCTTAAAAATTGTTCTAATAACTTTAATATTTTAGGTTTTAATTGTATAACTTTGAATTTAATTCCCGAGGTTTTATTTCGTAATGAAACATTTTACCAACATAAACATCACAGGCAGCAATTTTTAATATGTTAATATTTTTAAATATCTTTTTAATATATCTTTAATTCAACTGTAACATAATTCTTTGTACATATATAATCTTAACAATGAGAAGGTTAATATTGTAATTTCCTATATACTAATCTAGACCTAATTTTGTTATATGAATATACTGCACTAAATATGGATCCATATTTGGGAGTTCAAATGATTTTAGTCATTTGATCATAATTACTGCCTGCTGATGGTCCCATGAGGACCAACACATGAAGCGGTTGAAAATAAAAATAAAATCTGAGTATTGGTTGACTGCATAACTACATTTGTTGTGTTGATGGAAACCTTACCTTGCCATTTGCTTATGACATACAACAGGATGCACACTGAATATAATTCACATGGGCTTCTGGTCAAGTTCTGCAATTGCTTCTACTGATTAAATTACATTCCCTGGTGCCTTCAGACCTTGCCCATATCTTCCTTGATTTCTTTCTTTTCAAATCTACATCAGTTGACATTATGTAGCTTCAGCATACAAAAACCAATTAACCAAACATGTGATCAGCCTAGATTGCTCGTTGCTAGTAAAGGTTATCACGCTGTTATCACTACCAACAGTCGTGCACAGAATGGCTAGATGACTAGAAGGGAGAAAGGGGAAAGTGTGATAGCTGAAGGGAGATGTAGAAGGGACTGATCCATAGGATTTCTTTACATGGCCTAAGTATAGTGATATAATCTGTATGTCAGATATAATCAATCTTAACTGATAGTATAATTACAATCCTTTAGTGGGAAGCATTCATTGTCTGATTTAAAGTATAAAATTGCAAAAATTTTCTTGATTCCAAGACTGGACCTACATGTTAGCAGACTGATTTCAAGTAGATACCACTTTCCGAAATGTAATAAAGTAGCAATGGCTTACCAAAACCACCAATTTGGAAGCGTGAAGACTTGCGAGACTTCAATGTTGACTGCGCTATCTCCACAGCACCAAGATTTCTTTCGCTCTGCCGTGGTGTAAGTATGTGATGTTTCCTCCGCACATTTCCCAAGGGACTCTGGCTCACTTTGCTAATTTCTTCTCCTAATTCAGTTTCAAATAGGCTCTGAAATATACCAATATCCAAAATGTACATAATTACATTCAGTTCTACATACTGGTCATTGAAGTACACAGTTCATTAATTTAAACAGCTAATAATGTACGACAAAATAAATTTCATAATGAGTTATTTTTATGATGAGCAAGAGAATCAGGAGTATATGAACTGTAAAGAAGGCTTGGAGATATAAAGGCCATATGCCATGCGTAACCATCCAAATTTGGGTGTATACTTTTGTTATCTTTAATTACTACAATGTGAATAGTATTATTTTGATCTCTGGAATTAATTAAATGATTGAATCAATTACTAAATTAGTTTGAGTGAGTGAGTCAGGTTCTTTAACTTAGGCAAAACTTAGGTCTAGTTCCTTATTTAGTTATAAGACACCACAAATAAACTGGAAAGAGTAGATTAGGCTACACAGTCAGAATTCCTTTCAAAATTCTATACTTGAAATAGCAGAAGTTTGTGGGACCTTTACAATACTGATGCTACATCTAGTTTTAATTACCCAAGCTGGTAGCCAGCAGTTAAAATCTCTTAAGCTGAATATGACTCACTTTTGTTTATAATTGAGGAACACAAGATTTCTATACACTACTAGATGTTTAAACCAGTCAATCAGAACCTGGAGAAGGTTACAATCATGTAGTCTGGTACAAAGGTGCCAACATTCTGGAGGAACATAATGGCTACATCTTCAGGGTACAATTGGTGTGATTAAAGATGCAATTGTATTAGGGACATATGCCACAGTGACCTAAATATCACTGAGGAATTATGTATGCTCATTCCTTGACTGTTCTGTTGGATATCACAGAGTGCATGTCCAGATGGAGTCACAAGGAGTAAGGACAACTGCATGCTAGACTATTCCTACAACACTTCATAAGACAAAACAGAATAGATGATTATCCTAACTGCCTGGGGAAGATTTAATCCCAGCCCCCAACTAGGCATGGGAAGAATTTTCATTGGGGTTTCAAATTCAGGCATGATAAGTAACACTGGCTCCAAAACTAGTAATAATCCTACTACTTCCTTGTCACCAGAATGAAGATCACTGTCTTAAGATTAAGAAAAATATTCATTTGAAATATTTTCACTATTCAAGTTTGAGAAATGTTTACTAGTCAACACCATGTCTCCTAACAGCTGACTCACAATCAACATTTCCAAGATCATTTATTCAATGAAAAACTGATGAATCTGGTCAACACACAACATCTCAAATTCATGTGCTTCAAGTGCTATTCATAAAATGAAGCACACAGTATGAGCAGTCATCTGTGTACAAGGCACAGCACTCGACAAAGGAAGGCAGCAACTGCATAGCATGCAGGGCACAGTACATCACATTGATGGGTTAATATTACAGTCTTTTGGGGTGTAAAGCTATATCGCATTCCAGAAGACCATAATCTTATTACATCAAGAATCTCAAACCCTGTACAAGAAGATGAATGCTATGGATGAGAAATTTCACCTCCTTGAGCTATAAAACTGAAACAACTTTAATCTCCTATTATTATCCTATCTATTTTAACTAATTATAAAAAACAAATTTAAGGCAGATTTGTAGATTTTAAAGAAAAAACTGAAAAATTAAAGATGTTTCTATCATGAATAACACATACCCTTCAGAATATTAGGACAAAGGTTTAAATAATTTTTACAGTATTCAAGTCTACAAATAAAAACCTATATTACAAACAATAATATCAGCTTCCCAGAATTGTAAGAAATATCCAAAGGAAGGGGAACACCAGAGATAGTTGAGAGTGACTGTGTAAGTACTACTTGAGGATAACCAAAATAGTGGCTAAAACATGTCATAACTGTAGAAACTGTATAGTTATCCTAGAATTATACATATATTGTGAGAATGAGACTGGATAAAATATCTCTACTCTTATTACCAGAAAAATTCAAGACCCAGTCACCTACAGACAACATGATACCATGTTATGCTATTGATAGATCCTTGCTTCAAAAATTTAGGAACTTGTAGCTTCTGCAAATGCCCATCAACATAGCAAGCAGAACACTGCTGTACCCCTTCACACAACTATTAATTACAAGCATCCAGAAAATGTGACAATTTTCTGTGAAGCACACTTACCCATTTTCGTTACAAGAGTGAAATGTGGAATCATAATGCAAGGAAATTGGAGGTTAATGAGAGTGAAACCGCTGACAGGAAATTTACTCAATTTAATATAATGAACTATTCAAAACAATACTTACTGCACAAGTAGACGAGGTGCTTCTTTTTTTAACAAGCATTTTTCGGCTACTTCTTTCATCCATGACATAGCAAGAACTTGCTCCAAACTCTGATGTATCATCTAATTCATTCTGATGGAGATGCCTATAACAGTAGTACGTTATGCTCAATAATAAATGATGTCTGAGTTTACATTTGCCATCATTTACTGGCCTAGGTGGGCATAATCGGGAATAAGGTTATTAATTTACAGTACGTTCGGTACATGTCAGAAAATGGACTCTGAAAACAACTGTAAATTTATTTCAGCAGCTAGTATTATGTTCATTACAAAAAAAAATCTGTTAATGTAGTCATAATTTATAGTGCAAACTCACAGTTATCTGTCACATAAAGAACTTTCCAAAAAAGGGAGGGAACAGGAAATATATCCTTGAAACAGTTTTAATTTTCAGTTGCTAATTACCCTGCCAGATTATAACATTTCTCCAGCAGAAGGAGGAGGAGGAGGAGGAAGAGAAGCTGTGAAGGACAATTTTACCAACTTTTCAAAGGTATCAGAATTTTTATTTATTAAATGACAATTAAAATGGAACTGGGTTTGCTGAAGAATGCTATCACATGGGCAATAAATTTTCTGCTATTTGCTAAACAACATACAGATACTGAATAAATAAAAATTGGCCTTGTTAAGACTAATTTCATTTATACTTATGGTACTATGAGGAGCATTTTATTCTGAAAATAACACCTATTAAAACAAAGTTAATAACTGTATTAAATCTGTAATTGGAAAGTAAACCAAAAAATTAAATTTATGTCTATGAATGAAATGAAAATGTGACAATAATTTGATAAACATAGTGAGATTATAATGTGGAAGAATTTCTAAAGGCATGGCTCATTTAATTTTGCATTTTTTATGACTGTATGACACAACATATAAGGCTTCTTCTGGACTTTGTCCACAGTTCCCTTGATTTTATTTGTAAAAATAAACACAGTACTTAGGAAACTGGATTTATTTTCTTGATAAGAGATAAGATATAAATAGAAATTCCTACTCTGCTGGGCACCAAGTAGAGCTACTCTTGTACCACCAGAGAATGACAGTAGCTCTACCTAATGACAGCCATAGGACAACATTTCAGTGCAATTTCACATTATTTCACATTCTGCATATTTTTATCCTTTGTTTATTTAGTGCCACTTTCAGTAACTGAAGCTGTGTGTGGCATCAAATGATAGACTATAATGAGCATTGATGGCAGCAGCTGTGGCTAAAACCAAGGAATTATCTCTGTGGAAAAACATGAAAAATGTTTAGTCAGGAAGCCAGTCTCTGGGCCTAAATTTGAAGTAGGAGTGTTAATCACTCACAGCATGTATTTTCAGGTACATACATTGGGCTACGACATACATATAATAAGAAAGTGAAATGGTTTACACATACTGTCAGTGTAATAGCTAGCCAAATATTCCAATCTGAAATCTCTATTTACTAGGAAGCAAGGCTGTTGGTTTCAATGTCAAATCTATTTTAGAGCTAAATCAACAACTGATACAGCTATGTATAATCCAATAAATAATAATTTATTGGCACTTAATAGTAAATTATCAGTGGGAGGACTATTCTGTAATCTAACAAAGGCATTTGACTCTGTAAATAACAATTAATCATTATCCAAACCAGAGTTTTATAGTATTAATGGCAGTATTGGAAAATTGATTAAATCCTACCTGAGTGACAGATATCAGAGAACATTAATAAATAACAATTATTCTATGGGTACTTCTGATTGGCAAAAAGTTAAACAAGGTGCACCACAGGGTTCAATACTTGTGATACTTGTGATACTGCAGATGGCAGTAATTGGGAAATTGTGAATTGTGTAATTGTAAGAGCATTTGTTCAATAAACTCTCTAGATCCAAGACAGCGTGAAGTTATTTGTCGCGTTATATACCCAACACGTGATTTGGGGCAATTTGACTCATAGTAATTTCATTTTCAAAATCCAAAAAAGAATAGTGAGAATTATTATGAAGGCAAGAAATAAGGACTCATGTCATCCACTGTTCAGGCAGTTAAATATTCTGCCTTTATATTCTAAATATATATTTTCTGTATCAATTTTTGTTGTTAAGAATTTAGACATATTTAAATTTAATTCTGCTATACACAACATTAACATCAGACAAGGTTTTGATTTACATTTTTCAAGTAATAAATTAGCTAAAGTGCAGAAGGGTGTATATTATTCAGGAATTAGGATATTCAGTAATCTACCACAAGGCATCAGGAATCTATTAAATGATATTACTAAATTCAAACAGGCTCTAAAAGAGTTTCTTCTTGCTGGTTCATTTTTACTTTAAATGAATATTATGAATGGAACACAAGGGGTGATCTTGGTTCTTATAAATAGTATCTAAAATTAACCTTGACAAGTCCTATTAACTAACTAAAAATATATAAATAATCATCTACTTTAGATCTGCATATATACCAACTGTGACTTTCATTTATTTTAACATGCAATCTCTTGTTTTATGAATTTATTTATTTATTTATGAATGTATTTATTACCATAATAATTTTTAGTATACTTCTGAGAGAAGTTATTTATTACATTTACTGTTCATGCATGTTAGATGTTTTTATAGTTTTTCTTTTGATGTGTGAGTGATTAGTTGATTAGTTGATACTGTATTGTTTATTGATAATATCCATTCATATGCATTGTTTTTATAAACTGGATGAATTTTATAAGATAAATAGTTAATATGTTTTCATCTAGTATTTAAGTCTTGTTGTAGTCACATTTTATTATGTTTAGTAACTGTGTTGTTTTATATTATGTTATTTTGACTTGTTCCAGTGATTGGTTGGGAAATTTTTTTTGATTTTTGACGTATACTATATCCAGTGGTGTGTCAACTTGTTTCTTGCCCTGTAATTGGATCTACCTGAATATAAGAATAAATTAAATTAAATTAAATTAAATTAAACACCATCATTCTCTATACTGCCTCCTATATTCTCTTATGATAGTGAAATTTCAGTGGATACATAGCTGCAAAATCTGCAAGGTTGGCATTTTACTTCATAAGGTGCCAGTCTTATTTTAACACTACTGGTTAAAGAGAAAACTAACTTACTTTATTAAACATTTCAAGAATGAAGAACACATTACATGTATTTCTGTGAAAATAAATGATCAGACTTGAGGTTCTCACAGCAATGACAATGCAATGGCAGGATTTGACATTGTTCACTCTGGAAGCAGGTTGCCACTGTTTCAGAGGAATGTAGGCCTCTCCATTTTCAGGGTCAAAGAGTAAGCTCATGAAGCAAAGAAGCAAGCAGCTAGAAACAAGTTAGAGAAACCCTGCTTGCTGTTTGGCTGTTCACTTCATCAGCTTACTCTCTGACCCTGAAAGTGGAGGTGTACATTCCTCCAAAATGTCAGTAACTTCTATTTTATTACATAGCAGCACATACCAGAAGACAGTACAATTTAAATACTTACCACCAAATGGGTTTAGTTTTATCATGTAGATTTCATTCTTAAGTTGGTTTTATAACAACACTGGTGATGGAATGATAATTGGTAGAGCCAACCTAAGTACTGAGAGAAAAACCAAGACAGTGCCACTTTCCCTGTCATAAATCTCACATGACCTCACCTGGCATCAAACCTGGGCCAAAGTGGAGGCAGTTGTGTAGAAAAACCTCTTCCCATGATGTTAATACTTTTATAGTCAGCAAACAGAGCACAGGTTAGTATCAAGTAAAATTCTTTGAGGGATTTGTGAGACTGCATTTAGTTCATTAATGTAAACATGAACATTTACCACTGTGTAGTGAAGAAATCAAAGGATATTGTGACGAGACACCTAAAAGCCTGATCCCCCACCTGCTGAGCGGAGCTTCGTATAGTATTTTCCTAGGTAATAGTTACCGAACCATTGCTAGTTGTTGCAACAACCAATATGCTGGAGAGCATTGCATCGGAAAACGCAAAACAGGAACCCTTGGAGATGGTGCTTTCTGTTTGGTACGCCGAGATCCTACCTCAGGGAGATTACACCAGATACAATCAGATCAGAGAACAGACCAAGAGAAGTGAGAAGAGAGACCAGTGGTGAGCAGAGCAGAGCTGAGAAACCCGCTCAGCCAAAATCAGAGAAGACGGGCTAATCAGGTCGCATCATCTAGAAGAAGTTCTGTCAGAGTGATTGTAGTGACTAGTGTAGTTGCAAACAAGTCGTCCAACAAAACAGATAACCAGAAGAGACACAAGATTAGAACAGAAGCAAGAGAACTGACAGAAGTCTTCATGTGGCGTAGCTACAGTGAACATCAGAGTGGGATCAATGTTCGTAGTTATGAAGAGTTATAATTACCGTGTGTCATAATTGTCTGTAGTTCTGCCTTGTGTAATTCTCCAATAAACTGCTTCCCCAAATCCATAATCCATTAATTATTTGTCACAGAACCCCGGACATGTCATACTATGTTGGATATGAGGTTCTTACAGCAGTGATTATGGAACACATAATCTGGGATGTAACATCATACCTGTATAGTCCAATAGCAGTTCACTGATATTTTTTCTCTTGTGAAAAATAATTGTAAATACAGAAAAGGCCTAGGCACTGTCAATCCAGCCCTCCATAGCACAGTCTAATAAACATCTTATTCTATTACAGCCAGCTCACTGATATTTTTAAGAACATACTGTTTCCATCTTCAGGGTCAATGAGTAAACTGAGTATGAGTTTCATTTTGTTTGACACCCTGTTTCTTGCTGGATAATTTCTTGGCTTATTCTCTGACCATGAAGACTGAAGCAGTACGTTCCTGCAAAAAAAAATGGTGAACTTCTACTACAACACATGGCATTACATCCCAGTCAAATAATATTCTGTCACCATCCAGTAGTAGATATGCCTTACCTGTACTAATATCTGTCAAAATAAGTTTGCCACCAAATTTCATTTTATAGCCTTTGGTTTAACTTCTGGATTTCAGGTGTCATATTATTTTATCACATGATTACTCATGAACATACACACATATCCCCTCAAATATCTTTTAACTAGCAAATGATGCACACCTAATGACCCTTGTTGTCTGCATGCTGGGTTCCTTTTTATGAGGACGATTGGCAGATTCCAGTAGCCCACTGAGTGCAACACGCCGAAATACTCCACCATGAGCTTCCTTGATGTATGTCATAAGTTGTCGCACATCACAATAAAGTGCCTGTAAATAATTTTGAACTTAAATTTGAAGTTTCAACAGTTAAATTAATGAATATTACTCAGCTGTAAATAAAGCAAGTATTCATTCTTTTCTTGGGATATGGTTCCTTCCATGGTCAGTATCAAAATATATGGGGTACAGTAATTACAACTTTAAAACATTAACAGTACTGTAATTACGATATCTGAATTTACTACTCACATTAAAAGTACTGGGAATAAAGATTCAAATTGCATTCAAATATAAAATGTCATGATACTTGCACATCACTTGAACACGCACCCACACATGCACAGACACACAAAGAGACACACCCCAAGCATGCACACTTCTGTAGATGTGCAAAAAAACACACACACATGCATTCATGCACGCACACACACACACACACACACACAACCCCACCACCACCCACTCTCC